CTGCTTCCTCTACAATTGTACTAATGCTTTTGACTGTCTGTGGGGAAACCCCGTGACTCTGTTAACTTCCTGTACAGCAAATTAGTTTGCTTTCTGTTTCTGTCATTTTCTCAGGATAAACAAATTTGACTTGGAGATTTCTCTGATCAGGATTTAAACATTTTCCATTAGATCAACTGTAACCTCATGTGTTTCATCTTAAATAGCCCCTTGTGTTTTTCAGAGGAGCTTTTGGTAAACTAAGTCCTGCCAAGATTATCTCTTTAGCTTTATAATGATAAAATCAATACAAAATTGTGTACACAGTTATGAGACCAGAAAATAAAATTTCATATTTAATCACATCAAATTAATCTAGCACAGCAGGTGTTTGAAATAGTAGATAGATATAATTTGAGTCAACACTTGCTTGGCCGGTGGACCTGTATTAATAGCCAACATAAACACTAACTTAAATGAAGGTGCAGACTGAGTGAGCAGACATGCAAAAGAATAGAAATATTTATTTTTTGGGGGGGAGCAAGCTGGATTTGTCTACTTTATTAGCTATTTAGAGAGAAAACCTCTCAATTTCTCTTTTTAGGACTCACGGGGAAGAAACTGGTGGGGAAGAGGCCTCAAAAACCAGGACCCACTCTCTTGGTACTGTGGCAAGGAGAGCAGGACTGGCCATGGCCATGGCCACAGCCAACTCCCTTCCCTCCCCCAGAACCCAAGACCACCCAACAAGTCTGTGGGATGAGAGAGGTCTGAGGCCAAGCCAAGAAGCTGATCCTCAGGGTCCCCAGGGGACAATGCAAAACCACGACTGAGACAACCTGCTGTCAGGGCCGGGACCCCAGGGTCTGTGGGGCCTGAGCCTTAAAGGGCAGATCTCAGGCAGGGGCTGAGGGCCCAGAGTCGAGCTTAAATGGGATCCTGGGCCCATGGAGGGTGTGCCAGATGGGCTGGTCAGGGCCATTATGGCAATTAGTACCCACAGGGCCCTCACAGAATGCTTTAAAAAGGTATTTTTCAACTGAGGTGCAAAACCTCAACATATATGCTTATAATAAAGGCCAGTTACTTAGAAAAAAGAATATCAGAAAACCAACAAACCACCAATACTATGAAAAACCAAAAAATTATTAGAAAAAGTCTTTCGCCTTTAAGACTTCACATTTACTTTCACAAACCTGTGCCACAACGCCAGAGCTGCATCAATTTGCCCTGGGCACCATTGCATATGGATTTTCCAGAGGGCTTGTGTTCATGCCTGGACTCCTCCTTTTCTAAAGCAACTGTGTCACCTCATAGATGGAGGTTACTCCAAACTTCTGTACTCACCTTTGACTTCCAGTTTCTTTATTGAAATTTCCATTCTAAGAAGGCTCTTCTCCTGGCGCCTATTGTGATATCAGGAGTTTACTAAGCTGAGGGAAGAGCAGAAGTCAGCAAGAGGTGTCTCAGTCTGATTCTTTGTGACTCAGTATAAATAACTGGAGGAAAAAATCAGGTCACTGCCAATTGGACTTCGTACCAATATGTCCCTCATTCCTGGCACAGCTTTCTTTGGTGGCTGCATTAATCGTTAATTAACTAGAGAGAGGGGAATGTTTGGCCACATTAAAAAACATCCCGAAGTACACTGACAAGTTTCCAGTGTTTCTGTGGAAACAGAAAGTTCACTGAGAATTTCTGTTTGTTCTGCCTAGTAAAAGGTGAAAGAGAAACAATAAAGTTCAGACACAGGTAAGAAAGGAGACCAAAGGGTTCACTTAAAAACACAAAGAATTACTTGGGCCATTTACCTTAAAGCATAGGCAAGGAAATTAGCTCATGAGAAAGATTTACAAAATAATAACTGAAAACATCAATGCCCCCTCCCCTGCAGCCTTAAGGCCCTTTCTTCTCTTGTTCCCCCTTCTCTCAGTTAAAAAATTCAGCAAATTTAGAAAAGTTTTAAATTCAAACATAATCATCATTTGGTGATCTTGGAGCCCTACACCCCTCACAGTGCATGCCAAAGTCAGCAGTTCAGCGTAAGCCCAAGAGTGAATTGTGTTCAAACGTGTCTATGTGGTGTCCCACATCACCTCTCTTTTTCCATAAATATATGCAGGGAAAAAAAAAAGCCCATAAAAACTCACCTTCAGGATTCGAAAATCAAGTCTCCTCAGCAGTTATGAATGCACCCTCTTGGAGGCTGGTAGGTGAAATAAAAACTATTCCCTCCCCTTCTCCCCGTTGTTGAAAGAATTAAAACAATTGCACTGCTAAACAATGCAGACAGGACTAGTTGGACTTCCAAGTATGCTGTACTTGAAAGCAGCAAAGAACACCTCGTAATCTAAAAGGAAGTGTTGTTTTGTGGGTTTTTTTGAAACCTTCGCCTTCCTGCACCAGCTAGTTGCCCCTTTCCTTGCTTTCCATTTTTTGTCTCTTTGCCCTGCAAGAGAGTATGACGTTATGTTCAACAAGTTATATATTCATTGTATTCACGTCAGACAGGCTCAATTTTGCAGTTTTGTATTATTACAAGAAAGGGTAACCATTTGTTACAAATAACTTTCAGCATTTCCAGGGCTCTAGGGTGTTCCTTTTTGTTCAGAAATTATTTTACTTTATAAGGACAGTGGTGTCAATTAACAAATTATACTTAAAATAGCTTACCTAGCTGGTTATTTGCTACTTTTATTCTGCAGAATTTGATGGATTTTTCTTTATATGTATGTGAGAAGAAATCTATTTGTTTTCTGACCTTACTTGTTTGCTTTATATTCAGTTACAACATGCTTGCAAACCCAAAGCATGGATTGTCTGAAGCAAGTAATCATTGGAACACACCCTAACCCTAACCCAACCCCCACTCCAGCCTATTCTTCCTTGAAGCTGAAAAGCTGATTTCTGGCAGAAAGAACATGGCTATAGATGAAGTCCAGAAATATAAAAGATACTTCCTCCAATTCATTACTATCTGCACTTCCTTAGCACAACTGTGTTTTAATTGACGCAAAATGGGTGTTTTCATCCTTCCTAATGTGCTTATCTGACTTGCTCTTACCTCTGAGGTCTATTGAGACATGTGAACTTTGACTTTTTTTTTTTTCCTTCACAGCCCCCCAAGGAAAGGTCTGGTATATTCTCCAAATCTGATAAACAAATCTCCAGAGTAATAGGTCACAGCTATAGAAATACCGCAACACCATTATCGATTTCAGAAGAAAAATAAATGCAATTTACCAGTGCCATTCCTTGCATACCTAAGCACAGCCTGGCATCTAACATAGGAACAAAGTTATTTGATATTTCCTTTTGGTTTTTCTCTCCCAGGTTACAAGACAAGAGGCTTGGACATAATGACCATTTCATAAGCTCTTCAGTACTCATCTTTGGGTGTTGTATGACAAAAGTATGTTACCTTATAGTGAAAACTGCAATGCAGAAAGTAGTCCTCTCTCCCCCCTGCAATTTGACTCCATAACAATGTCAGTCTTGGATATTGTGACTGTTGGTTTTCCTTTCTAACTTTTTTCCCTTCTTTCCTTTGTGTATTTTCTATCCTGTTACCTATGGGAAGGAGAATAATTCCAATCAATTTTTCCATTTTAACTGATGCTATTAGTGAAAAGAACCATTTGATAAATACGAGACACACTTATTGATGCTTCCTTGATAAAATATTTACAATTAAACACTGGAGATGACCTGGAGGAAAATTGTCTAGATCCAACTTATTTTTAAGACTACCAAGTAATAAAAGAGTCTTTAAACACTCTTCCTGTTTCTGGGGTATAACAGGAAAAAGAGTCCATTTTAGTGAAAGGATATAAGCTTTCTTTTTCAGCTGTAAAAATAGCAACTTTATATTAGTTTATTTTGCTCTCATCTTCACATTGGGTAACATTTAATTTCTCTCTCAGGCAAATGAAATTATGTTTCTGCAGAAATTAAAGGACCTTCATTGCCAGTCATAATACGGAGCTTATTTACCTTGAATATGGAATAATAAAATTATAGAATGGTTTGAGTTGGATCACATAGTCAAAGTCCCCTACCATGGGCAGGCACACCTTTCACTAGATCAGGTTGCTCAGAGTCCCATCCAACCTGACCTTGAACACTTCCAGGGATGGGCGAACCACCATCTCTCTGGCCAACCAACCCAGTTTTTCACTGTCCTCATCACAAAAAGTTTCTTCCTTATATCTAGTCTGAATCAACCTTCTAGTTTTAAACCATTATCCCTTCTCTTATCACTACAGGCCCTACTAAAAAGTCTGTCCCCATCCTTCTTATAAGCCCCCTTGAAGTACTTGAAAGGTGGCAATAAGGTCTCCTTGGTGCCTTCTCTTCTCCAGGCTAAACAATTCCAACTGTCTCAGCCTTTCCTTACAGCAGAGGTGCTCCAGCCCTAGGATAATTTTTGTGGCTCTTCTCTGGACCAGCTGCAGCAGGTCCATGTCTTTCCTATACCAAGGACTCCAGAGCTGGAGGCAGCACTGCAAGTGGGGTCTCACCTGAGCAGGGCAGAGAGGCAGAATCCTCTCCTCACCTGCTGCCCATGCTGTGGGATCAGCCCAGCACACGGGGTGTTTCTGGGTGCCAGCACATGTGGCTGGGGCATGTCCAGCCTCTTACCCACCAGCACCCTTAAGTCCTCCCCAGGGTTGCTCTCAGTCTGTTCATCAGAAATATGTCAGCCTCAGCCACTGCTTTAGCTCGTCCAGGTCCCTCTGGATGGCCCCGTCCCTCAGATGTGTCACTGCATCCTCAGCTTGATGTGATCTGCAATTTGCTGAGTTTAAGTGCCAAGAAATTTAGGTTTGTCTCTGCTTCTTTGGACTTTCCAAATCCCACTTGAAACTGAAAATTTGGAGGGTTTTTCAATTTTATCTCAGAAATTTTGATTCTGCTGTATTTATACTATTAAATGGCTACACACTATGCACTATAAAATCTGTTACGCTGTATTACCATCCATTCACAAATAAAACAATTGCTGCCTTTGAGCTAAAATGTTCCTTCTGTACCTCTACTATTCTTTTTCTGAATATTTTATTGTTAACAGCATACATACTCTGCACATTTTTAAACTTACAACCAAATCCAACTGCTGTTGAAGTAAACGAATCTTTTTTACATTAAAGTATTTAATTAATGAAACAATCATTATCAATGTAACAAACTGAAAAACACAGCAACTTGATACAAGACTGAGGTAACAAAATACTTTGCCAAAAACCTAGATTCCAATGTCAGGGTTCTTATGGGTGAGACAGTTCACAAGAACTATAGAAAGAATTCTTTACACAAATGGCATGCAGTGGACTGCTAGAAAATACAGCCAAAAATAGTGCAACAGTTTTCACACAAAACAAACGAAAATGTTGAAATTGGTTTACATTATAATGTGACAAGTAAGTCGCAATTTGAAAACCAGCTTCTTTGCCTCGTTTTAGTGCTATTTGGAAAAACATGCATTTTGGCACTGAATTACATAAAAATTGCACGTTAAATAAATAATATTACCTACAGTTTTTATATCTTCACAATTCTGAAAACAGTAATTATGACATAATGTTTACTTTTACATAACTATTGCAGTTATTCTCTCTTTGATGGAGGAAAACTTGTATGGTTTGTGGTATTTTTTGTGCAAATGCTGTAATAATAAGTCCTGATAGGCAATATAGTGTATTTCAATAGCAGCTTTCAATTAACCATAAAAGTACCAGATAACAGCAAATGGTACCAAATGACACCATAAAATCTCTAATCAGCAGTGGCAGACCTTTTCATTCTTAAAAAGTAATTTAAAGTTGGTTTAAGATGGTTTAGTAGTATTCCTACACTGCCATCAATCTGAATGTTTTAATACTGTGCAGCAATTTCACAACTGTGCTATACTGAAAACATTAACCGAACTATCGTGTAAAACTGTTATTTGCTACATTCATCTTTCTTCTGTATAATGCTTTTTACATTCAAATGACAGTCGTGTGAGGAAATTCAAGGTACTTTTGACATATTTCCAAATTACAAGGTTCTGAGTACGATCTGAGTTTGAATATTGAGTCGGACTGAAGGGTTTAATTTTTCCACAGTTTCATCTTCTGACAGTGACAAATGACTGAGTATAAGAATCATTGCTAAATACTGCCTTTCATTCATGCCATACTGTTTGGTGGCCCATCATAGTTTGAGCCAAAGCTGCTTCCTTTCTAGTTGGGAATCTGTTTTACAAGCAAGTGAAAATGGACACTTTTGTAACTTCTCCAGCAAGCTCCATGGCTTGTAATTTTGAGTAGAAGTGTATTTCTGAAGGCTAGAACACTCTACCTCTTGTACATACAATAACATATGTAACACTTCAGAGACCCTTAAATTCTAAAAGCCATTAAATTCTAAGCGAGTACAGGCTCATTCTATTGCTACCATATCAGTCAGCAGTTACTGTTCTTTCCAAGGAGGCTTGTTAAACATAACTGAAAATTGTTACAACATCCATTAGTTTATTTCCATTGCAATATGCTGGAAAAAATCTCACAAGCCCTCATTGTGTTCACTTCCACATTAGAAATGAATAAGTATTTACATGCTTCTAATGTATGTGTACACTTTATGCTAGTAAGTGTTTGATTTTAAATTTAGCTTATATTGAAGACAGATCAGGTCATTCCCTTTTAAGGGGAAAGGGCTACTAGTAACTTAAAAAAACCCTCTTAACTTGAACAGTTCTGTTTTGGTTCAGGTGTCATCATTTTGGTCACTGTTCTGCACTGTTCAAACGCTATGAATACTGACAGCACACATGACACATGGTCATAGGTGGCACAGTCATTAAAAAGGCTATGCACGTGAGTAATCTCATTGATAACTAATCACAAAAGTCCATAGGTGCAGAATAATTCAAGCCATATCATATTCTTACAATCTGAAGTCATTTACTGGTGACAGGATATTACTGCATTCAAAAGCTTCTACATCATCTCTAATGGCATTCGATGTTCTGCCCCTGCAGATACCTAGTTCAAAGTTGTCTTAACTTAGCAAAAAAAGAGAAAAAATGGTATAGACATATTTTGCATTCTCACTCTTTTCACACATCATCTGAACTATCAAATAAACTTTGTCCACTTTACATACACTTTCACATGTCCCAGGATCTAAGTGCAGTTGTCTTCAGAAACTGATTTTCTTGAAAAGCTGGTATGTATTAGGCTTTCAGGATTGTAACATGAACTCTTAAAAGAACAAAACTTTTAACCTACATTTAACAGTACAGGTATTGCAGTTGTTGTTGTTTTTAGAGAAGTTTCAAAACAAAAATTTAGAAAATCACGCAAGTCCACAGAATACATCCTGCTAGTGCCAGGGAGCTTGTTCTGTTCACTTAAACTAACTTCCGCGTTGTTCCTGGTTTGTAAGCTACAGGCTTGGCTTGCCAATTTCTCCTCTATGCAATCTTGGGAAACTCAGAAGAGGTTTCTGGTGATTGATGAATCTGAATACTGATGCCTCATGGCAAAAGAATTTCAAACAGAAGAAGTGATGAACTTACCATACGAACAGAGACAGATTCTGAGTGCAGGAGTGCGAGGGCACAGCAGGGACACAGTGATGTCAGGACAGTTCCTTCAGAGAAGGCTCAGGTGTATGCTTTTTCTTTTTTTGTTCTCTGGACACCGATGGGGAGGTTTCTTTGTATTTGCTCCATTGTTAGACAGTCTTCCCTAGCTTTCACTGCCATCATGATTTCATAATAGCAGTACCCTCTGCCAGTACTAATGTCCTAAAATTGCAACTGGAATTGAGTGGAGCCAAGTCATCCACAGAAAGACAGAGCAGGAACAATGATATGGAATCATTCTGAGGACCTTGGGCCACGTGATACATAACATCTGATTACCTGCCTCCCTACCAAGGTATTTAAGATGAACAACATTCAGACTGAATTAAAAAAAACAAACTTGTAAGCAACTACGCCTTTAGTAAGAGAATGAAAGACAAACTTTAGCACAATGCAAATTTAAACAGCCTTATATCCATTGTTAGGGCATTTCTGAGTAAAATAACGGAATAAAACCAAATCCAGCTGTCCTATGCCAAAATACATTTTTCCCAAATAGCTCAAATGTGAACAGCACAATTGTCCAGAGATTTGATACAAAATTTGAGGCAGCCACTTTGCCAAGCAACTCAGTGCACTTAGATTATAAAAATGTTGTTCCACAATTTTCTATTCTAATTGACACTTTGCAGCAAGTTAACACTGTCAGTCATTCTGTGCATTAGAAAGAATTGAAACCCAACATGGGCCAAATATTCTTCAGTCACACAAAGCAGCTTAACAATAAAAAGAACCATTTAAAAAAGAATAGGCAGAAGATACGATGCTCAGTTTGTGGTCAAATATCAGTTCATGCAGTCTCTGACCACAAATAGTTGAGGGCTCTAGAATCCTGCAGGAGTCAGGATTAATCTTCTGTCCACCTAACTTGTCTGCTTTCACTCAGTGCATAAGACTATATCTGGTCCTAGGGACAACATTCACTTTCTGCTTTTAAAAGCTATGCCAGAATCTAGTTACATAGGAAAGTGCTGACATATTTGTGGCTGGCTCATGTCAGGAAAACCATCCTCCTCTTCCTCCTCAGAGAACAATAACCTGTTTCTTCAGTTTGGCACTTGAAGTCGCGCCAGGTAGGAGAGCAAATTATTCAAATGACATTAGATTAGCGGGTACCTGGAAGAGAATGTAAATTACTCATAGAATCATAAAGTTTGAGACAGACTGCTAAGATCATCAAGTCCATCCTAGAATAGTTCCACTGTCCATGCGAAAGCCCCTTCTGAAGAAGAGATGTTACCTTGCTTGAAGCAATTGAGAGTAGAAGTTTTATGCTGTTAAGGAAACCAAACCTATAGCGAGACCTGCACAAATCCTGGGGAATTCTGTAATTTTAAATAATTATGTTTGTCCCCACAGAACTGTGCGTGCACAGAGATTGAAAAGAGGTACCTTTTCTAATAAGGATTTTCTGTAAAACATGAAAAAGTGGGTAGAAATAAGTTTCACAACCTTACCTGAGGCTTGTTGCTTTTGCACGCGTCATCCAAATGCTTATGCCATAATATTGCATGAAACCTTGAGCCAGTCTGGAACTTGTAAACATTGCCTACAAAAATAAGAAAATCAAAGGCTCTAAATTTGCAGACAGGTACTTCCACAGGATTCTGATTTCTGTGCAGAAGCCAAAGTCCTGAAGTAAACTGTTAAATTAATTTGCACCTCAAATGCTCAGATATGATGCTGTTCATATAACAGAGCCCATGTGAGGCATGTTTATCCAACAATCCTTGTCGAAGCAAGTATGAGAACCATATATAGTCTCACAGGCAGAAAGGCCAAATTATAGCCACAGAAAGGACGACTTAGGTCACATCTAATTTAAGCCTGGCTTTCTTCTCATTAAGACTTCTTAGGAAGTTTTTCTTATTTCTAAACTTAGCTTTCTTCAATGTCCCCATGCAAATTGTTTCCTGCAATCATGCACTTCATACAGTAGATGCAAATCCATATCCAGCACCAAACCCGAAAACATGAAAAGTGAAAGAAGTCTCAAAAATCTGTAAGTAACCACTCGAAGTGCAATATATAACTGCAGGGGGCTACCTCGTCTTTTGAAGTTTTTCAAGTTTAATCATGGGAAAAGAGTTATGGCACCTCAAAATTAATTATTAAAAAGTATTTAATAATTACTTAAAAGGCTTATTTTGCTAAATGGTTTGATATTTTAATTGGCCCTAATGTAAGTCAAGATTTGATACTGACTGATTTTAAGGAAGCTATTCAGAAACTTGGAGATGAGAGTATGTGGACACACGGACATGCTGCAGTCTTTTTCACTGGTTGGGGAATTTCTGCAAAACTTGCAGTAACTGTCAAGATAAAGCAATACCTCTGTAGGCACTACAGAAGCACCACAGCCTATTGTAGAAATATGTTCAATTTAATTTGTACCCTCCCTTGAAAATTCTGTATTGAAAATCTCCATCTTCAGTATTTTAAATAAGTGCAACTGCAAGTTCTGTAACCTACAAACTCATTAAGAGACACTAATCTACTTCCTGTCACAGAAATTAAAGCAGACAATGTCCATCCTGCAATACCTACCTTTGTCAGGGTTATTTAGCTGGAAAATATCAGGATGCTCTGGGTCGTCAGGCAGTGCCACCATCCAGCCCACAATGGAGACCTTTTTCCCAGGTGTAGATTTATACTGGAAGAGACAGACAAGTCAATCACAGTTGAGACTGTAGCAGGGATTAACTTTTGACTGTAAAAGTTGTGCAAACATATGCTTTAGCCCAGAACAGAAAGTACACTTCCAACACCCTTCCAGATCTGCTTATGCATATCCAATTCTGGGGTTTAGAATAAATTTAAAGCTTACATGTTTTCTTTCAGTGCCTCTTAAAGATTTTGCTCCAAAATACAGAAGAGTTGATCCTGAAAGCATAACCCAGTATCTAGTCCATGAGGAGAGCTGAATCAGAAAGGAAAAAAAAATGAGGAAAAACTCTGCATATCTCTAACATCTCAAAAATCGATTCACAAGCAAGTCCCAGTGCTACCAAAGGTAATTTCAGAAGCAAGGAATGGAGAGTTAGATAAAGAGTGTCTTCTGGTGTAAATCAGCCCAGCTACCTAAATTTGGATGGCTGGCTGTGAATACAATCCATCTAAGTTGGGTATCTCATAAAAGCATCAGGACCGATTGTTTCAGAGCAAAATAGTGTGCTGCCTTCTACAGATCTCAGACTTTAATCAATAAAATTTATTGAGATGACAACTCAGCAATTCTTCAAATCTTTTAGCTCTGAACAGTAGAGTTGCATGTAAAACATATCAATCAACTCTACAGAAAACAAAAAAATTACCAAATGCACAGAACTAGAACCATGTGAAACCCACAAATTTAGATTAAGTATGAATTGCCATGACTTTTGTGCTATGGGTGGGTGCCCTGCAGCCTTTCCACTTCAATGCGATACCACAGAAGTACCACAGTATACTGTAGAAATATGTTCAATTGCATTTGTACTCTTCTTTGAAAATTCTGTATTGAAGATCTCCCTCTTTAGTCTTTTATGAGACTGCCACTGCAAGTTCTGTAATCTACAAACTCATTAACAGAGATTACCTTATTTCCTGTCACAGAAATATACTGCAGACAAAGTAGACAATGCCCATCCTGCAACATTTACCTTTGTCAGGGTTATTTAGCTGGAAAATATCAGGATGCTCCAGGTCGTCAGGCAGTGCCACAAGATTTATTTTTGCCCTCACAACAATACCTGCTGGTTACACAGCTGCTCACCCCTGCCCTGCTCTTACAGCCAGAGACATGACTTGCAACCTTGTTATAACCTGGTTGTAACTTTGATCAGAAAATTACTTTACAATTAATAAAAACATTGCTTTGCATGTTATCAAGCTGCAGGTTTAATCTAATCCTGAAAATTAAACCAGCCACTACTGAATTAGAATCATAGGAAAAATTATAATTAGAATCACTTACAGTAGGTTTCTTGCCTTCTTTGAGCAGTGTTTTTCTTTTTAATGGCCCTTCCATGGTAATGATTCCTGTGGAACCACCTGCTGTGCAGCTGCAGGTGCCTGTTGGGCTGGAAAGACAAAACATTGTTCTGTGTATTTGAGGAAATAAGGACAAGAAGTAAGCAATATAATTTAGCTCTAAATATATCTGTCCTGCACTGCATTACATATATTATATCATCTGACACTTGACTCTGGAATATTTTCCTAACCTAGCTATCAAATAGGAACCAGGATTTTTGCAAAATAGCAAATCAACAAAAGGTTCTATTCTGGGGGCTTAGATATGAAAAAAAAAATAGAATAAGTACTGAAGCCCAAAGTCAAAGGCAAAACAAGCAATTTTCTTTTTTTATTCCAGTAAATTACAGAAATTATCTGGATTTCTGAAAATTTACAGTTTAAAATTTTGTTAATAGGAGCTCCCACAAATGTAACTTTAAATCAAATTAAACTACCTTGGCTAATTGGAAATCTACATATAAAAATGCCAAATAATTCACTGTACAGTGATTAACATTTTTTTTGCTTTTCCAGGATGAACACAGAGCTTCCCACATACAACAGAGAGAAAGAGCTACAACGGAAGAGCCCAAGCACAGGCAAAGTTCGAAATGCAAACAGTCATTAACAATGTCTCAACTAAACACTGATTGGTTTGTGATGATCTGTTAGAATTATCTGTGCTAACCTCTCTTCACTGACATGGAATCACAACACTTATGTTCTCATATGCACCGATGAGGTTTATCAGAGCCAACCAAATCATGTCTAATAATGAATACAAGGAAAAGGACGTGTATGATCTACCTTTCAGCTGTGAAAGAAAACTATTCTGTCCCCAAATGAGTATGAGCACATGCTGGTGCAGGTGACATACGTAATCATCCCTAGACAAGCACAGCCCTTCCAGCTGGCAGGGGCATCTTCCCCCATTGCACAGACCCGCCTGCTCTGTGCTAATGTGCATTCTGGCCAGTTCTGTATTTCTGATGGAGGCAGTAGAAGATCCCAGAACTGGAAGAATGAACACAAGCATTAGAATTGCCTGATGGTGGACAAACATAAGAAATGTATTTTAGGGAATAATTCTTCTTTGTGAATTTATTAGGGTTTCACATTTTTATCTCCTTACATTTATATTTCTAGCCTGTATATGTTTTTGAAACAAATCTACCATGGTCATGTTAAGAGAGTATTTTCCAGAAGCAGGTATAATAGCTTAATTACCATTCCAAAATGTATTCCTTTACTAATTTATAATGTATGTGTTTTTATTCCTGTCTAACTTGTGCTGCTATCAGACGTTACTGGCTCAGGTAAAGCAGGTGTAATTACATTTACACATTATATCAATATTTCTACAGTGGCTGAAGCAAACCAATTTATACAAAATAAAATTTGACTGTATTTAAACTCCAACTAAATCACAGTGTTTGCAGAATACTGTTTCAGGGCCCTATTTTCTTTACTGTTCATACATACACCTTCATCTCCCACTGCCACAGAATTTACCAAGTCCAGGTCTGGTATGGATGCAAACAATGATTTTTATCCTTCAAACTACCTACAATTTTCCGTGTCACCTCTCTTTGGTCTGTAAATGGATTACTTGCTCCTGAAAAGTCCATGTCTTAATGACTAGCAACACTGGGAATGCCTGCTACATATGCCATTGCAGATATTCTCTCTGTTACTCAGGGTCCAAGGTAACACCTCTTTACTGTACAAAATAAACACTTCATACTATAGATTTCTGACACAAACAGATGCTATGGGTAGTTGTCCTGCAAATCAGGAAATAGATTGTGAGAAAAGGTCAAAAAAGTATCCTTCTAACATCATTACTTGTTACAGGAGGCAGAGATGGCCTTCATGACAAACCTGCTACTGTAATGTCATAAACCCCTAAATAAAGCCTAGTTTTCTGCAAAACAGAATCCACACATAATGAGTTAAATCAATAGCTACATAATGAGTTAAATCAATAGCTAAACTGAATTTCATCTGAATGGGCCATATACCTGCTTTAGCATTAACAGGAATTTTTACAAGCAGGAAGGGGAGACTCCTGTGAGGTGTTACGGTCATACAAAGATATCTGGACACAAAATACATTATGCTTCTAGGAAAGCGTAGAGACCCAAATGGATTTAGCACCACACAAGGAGCAAGGCAGAACCCGAACTGTACCTGTAGACACAGCTTCGACTTCTAGGAGAATTCCGGATCGGTACCTTCCAGTTAGGACCCAGTGTGGCATATAAACGACCCCTGTTTGTGAATGCAAATATCTGATGAGGGAAATTCTAGTCTGAGACTTCAACAATTAGGGTTTGGCAAACATGACAGAGATAGCTTCCAATCTTTTCAGGTCCACGGGAAGAAAAACACAAAACCTTTACAGTGCTTTATTTTAAAAAGTTTGCCATTGTTTTCCTAACTATAATAATTTGATAAAAATAACTATTGATTTAGGGCTTACCTATGTCAGGGACCATTTGTGAATTTCTTAGCTAAGTCTGCAGAGTGCTCAGTGAGTGTACATGAAGACTAACTCACCTTTCAAGCCCTGACGGCAGCTCCTCACTAAATTCTGAGCTTTCACTGCTATCTAGAAAGAGAGTAGTACAGAGAAGGAGTAAGAAAACCACCCATGGGAAAATACAAAGCCAATGTATATGGATCACCAGAATACTCTTTATATAGTACCATGGAATTGCTTACTCAAGTCATGTTTTGAAGTTGAAGTGTTTAGAGTTCATGGTAAAATCTTTAGCTGGAAGAGGCTTAACATGAGCCTCCCCATTTACAATATCTCACTGATAACTCGCATTACTGCTGTGTTTAAATACCAGACATCTACATGATGCTTTAATTTTCATTTTGCTGTTTTTCCTTCAGAAGCTGAGCACTTCAGGAACATAAAATCCAGTTCCTTTGTAAGACAATATTTCTACCACAACATCTGTAAGTTGATTAAAGTTATTAGACATTATATCATTGTTTGTTTTCAATAAGCAAGCACACCTGTAACAGAGGATATGTTAGCTGTATGCTGCTGCTAGGAGTCATGACAAATAAATATGATGGCATTCATTGCAACAGTTCCTGTTTCTCCTCCAATCCTATGACCAATTTGTCCCTCCTTTCCTGGCACAACTATTTAGCTCACAGTTTTAATTTGCCCAGGACTGATTTTCTAATGCTCAGTTTTAGCACAGTGAGCTGTGCCTGTATTTCAGAAGAGCAAAGATCATCTCAGTGTCTAACTCTCGGTCAAGTAATGTTCTATCTTTCAGAGTCTACTTCCTATTCTAGAAATAACCTGAGTCACTTAAAAAGTGGCTTTCTCATGCTTAGAATAGATTCTTGATCACTGTTGCTATTAGAATAGATTCTTGATCACTGTTGCTATTATAATAATTGTTTTATTAATTATAATATCATAATGTGTGCATTTTACATTTCTTCTGAAGTCTCAGAGAGCGCAGCTAAACTACTCTCCCATCTTCTAAAACATATAGTTAAAATTAAAGTTTTCTTTGTGAAAAGGCAGGTTTCAAAATATATATCCTGCTTTTTCCCTGGTGAAGTCTGACAAACACTTTGTGTCACAAACCAAGCATCCACAAAACCATTCCTCCTTCGTGTCACTTTTACCAAAACCATCAGTGGGCAACTGAAGAAAGCTGGGGTAATGTCAACAGGTATCTGGGCAGCAGTTCTGATCTACCTTCTTCCATGAAAGCAACCAGTCTTTGCATGGTTGCTAATGACCTTCTTAATTCCCTACTTTTGGGTATCCCTGTGAGTCTCCAGCGCCCTGGGACAGGGTAGGGGTGCCGGTACCTCTGGAGAGGCCGTTGGCCAGGCGCACGCTGGGCGCGTGTCCGCGCGCGGGGCTCTGACACTCCAGGACACTGTCATCCAGCAGGTGCCGCGGCCGCTCTGTCGGGAAGGTGGCGCTTTTGCTCTCCACGACGCTCAGCTGACACATCATACTGGAACAGGGAGGAAGAGAAGAACATGAAACCTCTCTTATGTCATCCAACAGCCACCCTTGGCTCACAGTATTTCCACTCAGCCTCTGCCTCATCAGCAGGATATTAACAAGCAGGCAATTAAATGGTACCATTTACTGTACAGATGCTCCTTGACTACCAATACAAGTTTCAGATTTTACTGCTCTTTGTCAATAACAATTATTAAATTTCTGCAGCTGGGAAGTTTTAAGTTTTTTGACTCCTCTCTGTACAAAACCCGAACACCCTTGGTGGCAGCAAAAGTAGAAAAAGGAGAATCCAGCTAAGTCACTGCTTGGTGGTCTTTCACTAAGCTGAACTAACACACCATCGCTCCGTGACCTGGGACAAGTCACATGAACTTCTCTTCCCCTAACCCCTTAATTGTGAAATTTGGTAGATGCTGAAACCTTAACTGGGGAGCAGGTGCTCTCACTTAGCTAGGTAAATGGTAGAGAAAAATGTTTCTAATCCATAGCACCTGGGTAAAACAGTGCAAAAATAAGGTGTACCTTCCCTAAATAAGGTGTACCAAGCTAGTAAGCTTCCTTAGATGTATCAGCAAGATGTTTAACAAACAAAAGAAAACAAATAAAAGTTATGCACAACAGGAATCCATAGACCAAAGTGGATATGCAGCTTTCAAGTACTGCCAATGCCTGGCACCAGCAGAGAATAGCAAAAAAAAGTAAGCAAAAATAACAAAGTGTCAAGAGAAAACCTAGAGAATACACCGTAAAGCCTGACGCACTCTTGCAATACAAGAAATGAAAGGACAAATACCACCTGTTCTGCTGCTATCTTAAACATTTGTGATGCATTAAACTGCCCAAGCTGAGATAGCTGGGAGTACATACTTGTTCCCCAGGCTGTGACTCTTCCGGTGCCTTGGCACAGGAGGCGTAGGGAAACTTGCTGCTACTGAGGCATCAGGACACGTGGGTCTCCTGCTGAATTTCACAATTGCTGACATGTCGGACGGACCTAAAAGACAAAGATCATTTAACACTGAACTGGTGCAAACCCCAGAAATTTTGTGGGCTGGTATGTTTAAAATGAATTGTTACAGATAACCCAAAGGCACCATTTCTGAAGCACTGTATCTTGAACATCAGGGTTACACCATCCATTTTTGTTATAAATTCATCTCTATATGCTTGAACTCTCTGAAAGTAGTTTTTTACAGTTTTGCTCATACTTTTAACAATGAACTACAAAAAACCTTGGCATCCTTACAACAGCTGGATGTGCCAAAGTGTAATATGTAGAACCATGAAGTCAGTTTGTACTTCGGGTGTGAGCAGGAATGTTCACACATGTTTTGAATTTTGTTCACAACTTCATGTTGTGAATAAACTCTAAACAATCTGCTCATACTGACTCATAGTTTGAGCATGTAAGAGAAAGCAGAGGTTTTTAATTTATCTAATGGCCAGACAAATGCATTACTTCTCAATCATCTATGAGCCCTAGAGATGTCTCACTGCAATCATTCTTACACTCATTTTACAGATTTTATGAGGCCTCACAGAAAACATGGATGAAATGTTCTTGTTCCAGTTCCTTGATCCTGTTCACCAAAGGCTGGCAGTGAACTTTGCCATACAGTGGAGAGCAACACAACCTATCACCATCCTCAGTAAATGCAATGCTATTCTTGGCTTGAGATTTCACTTTTAAACACATAGTTATGGCACTGGTGCTTGTGATTGAAAGTGGTCATGAAAATGGCTGCCTGCCCCATATCTTTTCCCTGGTACAGTCCAGCTAGCAGCAGAACAGACTTTCTTCTACGTTAAAAGAATCACTTCTTGGAGGCTTCAGCAACCTCAGCTTAGTCAGCTTCTGACCTCTAACCACAGCCCTTTAAGAGAAACTTTGTGACGTGAAAAAACACATGCAATTATCCTCAGAATCTTTACAGAAGTGTCTGACCTCAAGTGATAAACTGGAACAGAAGAAAAAAAAATAAAATAAACCCTCAACATCACAGGGCACAGTTTGACAACAGGATGTAAAGGTACACCTTCAACAGAAATGGCTCTGAGAGAGTGGTCACCGGCTGGATGAGGCTTCCCAGAGAAGTGGCACCAAACCTGTCAGAGTACAAGGTGCGTCTGGACAACACTCTTAGTGATATAATTTAGTTTTATGTAGACCCGTAAGGAGCAGGAAGTTGGACTCAGTGATTCTTATAGGTCCCTCCCAACTTGAGATATTCCATGTTTCTATCTGTTATATAGGCTACTCCATCTCTCCCCAAGCACAGAATTTATTTAACAACTTCTTCTGCCTTGAACGGAGGATTAATGAGACATAAGAAGAAATAGGAGAACCAGTAGTGAGTTTTTCCCAGTGAGAGGCAAAAAATAATACAAATAAACACAAGACGATTTACTATCCATACTCACCGTATCAAGTTGTATGAAATATAAAAATTAATTACAAATTACTTGTATTTTTATTTCCCCATAGCCTAGACTCTGGAATTTCACCACAAACTGGGTCGTAACTACGAAGAATTGCAAAGGTTTTTCCCCTAGCAGTAAGAGGAAAAATTTAATCCACAGTGTTCTGCACATTTGAGCAAACTGTTCATGGTGCTGTTTAATTAACAATGAAGGGAGCCTCAGGATAAACAAAAATAGGAAGCTGCTTCTAGCAACAGAGGAAGAACAAGCTCATTAGAGGAAACTTCAGTAAGATCACTCACTGGGTCATCAATTTAGTAGGAGAACAAAAAGAAAAAACAGTTCTTAATCCTGTTTTCTACCTTATTCCTATATACCAAGTTATATACAATAGCATTTTTGTCTGCCTGTCTTTGCTACCATCACACACATGTGAAAAATGACACCAGTAGCATCAGTCACTGGCATTTGCGCCTTCAGAGAAGGTCTTATGTTAAATGGCCACATGACCACATTAAAAAATGCACTTTCAATCATTACTTGATCCAGAGATTCAACCAGTGACACACACTTGGGAGACTGGAAAGGGCCAAGTACAATGTTCTGCTGTATTTTCAACTAAAACTTTTATGCATTTGGGCCGTAATATGATATTGGAAGCTTCTTCCCTGAAACCAACAGAGTTCATCTTCCCTTTCTACCATGGAGGCTAAGTACAAGTTAGAACAGAAAAAGTATGAATCTGAGCAAAATTATGTGATGCCTAGTTTAGTGTAAAAAGTGTATGGATTCATATTTCATTGTTAGATCTGAAAATCTTATCTGCCGCATTAATAGCAAGAATATATATTTCACTAAAGTCTTCTACCGCAAGTTTTCATTAAATTTTTAAAATTTATGCAGAGACAAAACAAATGCATTCAGAAGTTTCAGAAATTATTACAAGCTCTTAAGTTTGAAAACCTCCAGTCCTTCTGATGGACTAGGTTCCCAAAGAGGAGCACTCTACATGCTTTGTTTGTAGTGCCTTTCCATCAGATACTTTTCAATTTGTGAACAGTAAAATTAGAACTACTGAGCTGTTTATTACCAGCTAAGAAGCTTAAAATAAATTGGAACTGAGACCCAGTATGAAGATAGTGGCAGCTGAAAAAGAATTTTCCTGAAAATTATGAGCATTTGTCAGTAAGAGTTTAATCTGAAACTCAGCATAAACAGTGGCTACTCCAAGGCTTGTCCCTTAAATTAGCTGCAAGATTTGTTCATTTTATATTGCTTCCTGCTGCGTCCTTCAGGTCTTTCTAGTGCCAGTTCTAAATCCCAATTTGCATTAAGTTCTTTAAGTGTATGACATTAAGTTCTTCTAAGTTCACTGAGTGATACCGAATCATTATGTTTAACAAACTGCTGAAACTACAGCCTCTGAAAGAGTATCTTAAGGCACAGTCCTAAATGAATACCAGTACAGTGCAGTGCTTTTTCCCACAGACCCCGTGCCACATGTAAAAATAACTGTTAAATTTTGTAATACATAATAGTTTAAAGGTTTAAGTTTCTCACTGTGGAGAGTCACAGAGCTGAAAGCAGACTATTTGATGACTTTGATTCTAAAACATTGATATTGACACAAAGCCTGAGACTGCATCAAAACCACTTTACCTAGAGAAAGAACAGCAAAATAACAAGTCCGGTGCTTACACAATCGAGCCATTACAAAATCAAAGTTAGCTGGATTTGACTTGAGATAGGTTCAAATGTTACCGCTATTATAACCTAAAAGGATTAACACATCAAGCAAGAAAAGAACTGTTTGAGAGGTTTCACTCTACACTCCCTTTTTTTTTTCAAATTAGACACCCCGCTTGGGGAGCATGGAGTGAAATTTCCAGTAATATGAATGCAACACAAAAATATTTAAAGTTTGATCATTATAACTTGATTTAAGAAAGAGCTTTTATTACCTGGATAGCTTCAGAACAGAAAAGGTTTGTTAAAAAAACAATTACTTAAAAATCAAGTCGTATATCTAAAAGGACTGCACATCTCAGATTGAAAATAGTACTAGGAAACAAAACTTCAGTTCATGTAAAAATACTGCCTGGCTTAAGGTGAAATGTGTCAAGGGTGACAGAATTTGTGGAAATAGGTAGAAGATCCTTACAACCTAAGCTAACAGCCTGGCTTCCTTACTGTTATATATGGCAACCAAAACTGCTTGTAACAGTCCTGGGAAAGGAGGAAATGGGCCTGGGTTGACCAACCACTGGAACAGGCTGCCCAGAGAAGATGTGGAGTCTCCCAAACTGGAGACATTCAATAACCATCTGGACACAACCCTGTGCCATGTGCTCTGGGATGACCCTTCTGAAGCAGGGAGGTTGGACCAGATGACCCACTGTGGGCCCTTCCAACCCGCCCCATTCTGTGATTCTGCGACTTACTCTAATTCATACTCAGTGTAGTTCTGCATATTCTCATCTCCAAGGCAAGAGAGGGAAAGATATACAGTTTGGCTCTGTTAACCCTCGCTAAGATAAAAAGAATTTGAACGTAAAAACCTTTACAAAGTCTTTGCATCTGCTCTGCTGCCAAATGTTTACGAAGAAGAATGGTGAATTTTAGAGCTCTGTCAGGCAGGATCTGTGCTGCTGGGCACTCTCAGGGCAGCAAGTGTAGGGTACAGAGAGTGTCAGCATGAGTTAAGGGGCAGAGGGGAGATGACCCCATTTCTGTAAAGGGGTAAGAGACAAAGAGAGCCTGTGCCAAGAAGGATGCCAAAGAGGATAAGTGGTGAGACACTGATGAAAACTGCACCAAGGGATGTTCATGGACATACCAGACTGTTGAGCAATTAGCTGGGGAAGCTATGCCCAATACTGCTGATAACAAAATTCAAATATTTAAATTCATTTGAGATGGAGTTATTTTGCCCCTTTTTTCCAATAAGTGAAGTCATCTGCTACTGGTAACTCTCCTCTTTACTCTCCTGGCTCCACTCCTAGTGCATACTGTTACCATGATTCCTATTCTGTTATTTTGCCTTTCATGGAGACAAAGCACTCTTAGTAGGATTTTCCAGTCAGCTGGCATGAACAAGGGTTAGTTTGGTTTTCATTATTTCTCAGCATCATTTTCAAGATTATGCTGACATGCACAAAAAAAATTATAAAAATATTAAAACATTATTAAAAATTTGTTTGTGTTAGGGAACGTGAGACAACTTCATCAGAGTGAGCTGAGTGCTGTTCTGAGATCTGTGGCAAGAACATTTGGAAAAGTTTACACATATCCCAAAGGATCTCACTGTTTTTTCCTTTGCATAATTTTTCCATGAATAATCCTTCAAATGTTATAAATGAACATTACTTTTGCAATCCTTCAGTAAAACATGTGAACATTTACAGTCTCCAGAGGTTTTAAAAAAAGCAACAGAGTGAGGGAGTTACAGTTCACAATTTTTCTCCAGTAGAAAGCTATCAATAAACCAGTACTAGACATGCAAACAGAAAACTGAAAATGAGTTGCATATTATATGATGAAGAACTGAGGGATTTTTCAGGAAGGTAAAACAGT